CTATCCAGTTCCATTGATCTGTGTGTCTGTTTTTGTGCCAGTACCACACTGTCTTGATGACCACAGCTTTGTAGTACAACCTGAAATCTGGCATTGTGATGCCCCCAGCTATGGTTTTCTTTTTTAAAATTCCCCTGGCTATTCGGGGTCTTTTCTGATTCCACACAAATCTTAAAATAATTTGTTCTAAGTCTCTGAAGAAAGTCCATGGTATTTTGATAGGGATTGCATTAAACGTGTAAATTGCCCTGGGTAGCATTGACATTTTCACAATATTAATTCTGCCAATCCATGAGCCTGGAATATTTTTCCATCTCTTTGTGTCTTCCTCAATTTCTTTCAGAAGTGTTCTATAGTTTCTAGGGTATAGATCCTTTACCTCTTTGGTTAGGTTTATTCCTAGGTATCTTATGCTTTTGGGTGCAATTGTAAATGGGATTGACTCCTTAATTTCTCTTTCTTCAGTCTCAGTGTATAGGAATGCCATTGATTTCTGGGCATTGATTTTGTATCCTGCCACGCTACCAAATTGCTGTATGAGTTCTAGCAATCTTGGGGTGGAGGCTTTTGGGTTTTCTATGTAGAGTATCATGTCATTGGCGAAGAGGGAGAGTTTGACTTCTTCTTTGCCAATTTGAATGCCTTTAATGTCTTTTTGTTGTCTGATTGCTGAGGCTAGGACTTCCAATACTATGTTGAATAGCAGTGGTGAGAGTGGACATCCCTGTCTTGTTCCTGATCTTAGGGGAAAGGCTCCCAGTGCTTCCCCATTGAGAATCATATTTGCTGTGGGCTTTTCGTAGATGGCTTTTAAGATGTCGAGGAAAGTTCCCTCTATCCCTACACTCTGAAGAGTTTTGATCAGGAATGGATGCTGTATTTTGTCAAATGCTTTCTCTGCATCTAATGAGAGGATCATATGATTCTTGGTTTTTCTCTTGCTGATTTGATGAATCACATTGATTGTTTTACGAGTCGGGTCTATTTGCTGTTTTTTTCTCTAGCTCCTTTATGTGTAAGGTTAGCTTTTGTATTTGAGTTCTTTCCAGTTTTTGAATGGATGCTTGTATTGCGATGTATTTCCCCCTCAGGACTGCTTTTGCTGCATCCCAGAGATTTTGAACAGTTGTATCTTCATTCTCATTAGTTTCCATGAATCTTTTTAATTCTTCCTTAATTTACCTGGTTGACCCTTTTATCTTTTAGCAGGATGGTCCTTAACCTCCACGTGTTTGATGTCCTTCCAAACTTCTTCTTGTGATTGAGTTTTAATTTCAAGGCATTATGGTCTGAGAATATGCAGGGGACGATCCCAATCTTTTGGTATCGGTTCAGACCCGATTTGTGACCCAGTATGTGGTCTATTCTGGAGAAAGTTCCATGTGCACTTGAGAAGAATGTGTATTCAGTTGAGTTTGGATGTAAAGTTCTGTAGATATCTGTGAAATCTATCTGGTCCAGTGTATCACTTAAAGCTCTCGTTTCTTTGGAGATGTTGTGCTTAGAAGACCTATCGAGGGTAGAAAGAGCTAGATTGAAGTCACCAAGTATAAGTGTATTATTATCTAAGTATTTCTTCACTTTGGTTAATAATTCGTTTAAGTATTTGGCAGCTCCCACATTCGGGGCATATATATTGAGGATTGTTAAGTCCTCTTGCTGGATAGATCCTTTAAGTATAATATAGTGTCCCTCTTCGTCTCTCACTACAGTCTTCGGGGTAAATTTTAGTTTATCTGATATGAGGATGGCTACCCCTGCTTTCTTTTGAGAACCATTTGAATGGTAAATGGTTCTCCAACCTTTTATTTTCAGGTTGTAGGTGTCCTTCTGTCTAAAATGAGTCTCTTGTAGACAGCAAATAGATGGGTCCTGCTTTTTTATCCAGTCTGAAACCCTGCGCCTTTTGATGGGGTCATTAAGCCTGTTCACGTTCAGAGTTACTATTGACAGATATGAGTTTAGTGTCATCATGATATCTATTTAGTCCTTGTTTTTGTGGATTGTTCCACTGAACTTCTTCTTAAAGGGGAATTTTAAGAGTCCCCCTTAAAATTTCTTGCAGAGCTGGTTTGGAGGTCACATATTCTTTCAGTTCCTGCCTGTCTTGGAAGCTCTTTATCTCTCCTTCCATTTTGAATGAGAGCCTTGCTGGATAAAGTATTCTTGGTTGCATGTTCTTCTCATTTAGGACCCTGAATATATCCTGCCAGCCCTTTCTGGCCTGCCACGTCTCTGTGGAGAGGTCTGCTGTTACCCTAATATTCCTCCCCATGAAAGTCAGGGACTTCTTGTCTCTTGCTGCTTTAAGGATCTTCTCTTTATCTTTGGAATTTGCAAGCTTCACTATTAGATGTCGAGGTGTTGAACGGTTTTTATTGATTTTAGGGGGGGATCTCTCTATTTCCTGGATCTGAATGCCTGTTTCCCTTCCCAGATTGGGAAAGTTTTCAGCTAGGATTTGTTCAAATACATATTCTGGCCCTCTGGCCCTTTCGGCGCCCTCGGGAACCCCAATTAAACGTAGGTTTTTCTTCCTTAGGCTGTCATTTATTTCCCTTAATCTGTCTTCATGGTCTTTTTGTCTGTCTCTTTTTTCCTCAGTTTCCCTCTTTGCCATTAACTTGTCTTCTATGTCACTCACTCGTTCTTCCACCTCGTTAACCCTCGTCGTTAGGACTTTTAGTTTGGATTGCATCTCATTCAATTGATTTTTAATTTCTGCCTGATTGGATCTAAATTCTGCAGTCATGAAGTCTCGTGAGTCCTTAATGCTTTTTTCTAGAGCCACCAGTAGCTGTAGAATAGTGCTTCTGAATTGGCTTTCTGACATTGAAGTGTAATCCAGATTTTGTAACTCTGTGTGAGAGAGGGCTGTTTCTGATTCTTTCTTTTGAGGTGAGGTTTTCCTTCTAGTCAGTTTGCTCAGTGCAGAGTGGCCAAAAACAAGCTGTATTGGGAAAAGGAGAGAGAGAAGGAAAGAAAAGAGAAAAAGAAAAAGAGAAAGAAAAAGAAAGGTAAACAAAAAAGGGGGGTGGGGAAAGGAATCAGAAATCAAAAAGAAGGGATCCTGGGTGGCGCAGCGGTTTGGAGCCTGCCTTGGCCCAGGGCGCGATCCTGGAGACCCGGGATCGAATCCCACGTCGGGCTCCCGGTGCATGGAGCCTGCTTCTCCCTCTGCTATGTCTCTGCCTTGTCTCTGCCTCTCTCTCTCTCTGTATGACTATCATAAATAAATAATTTTTTAAAAAATTAAAAAAAAAAGAAACGAAAAAAACACAAAAAACACGGGGGAGTATCTTCTGATTCTGTAGACTTTAAGTCCCTTGACTTCCCCTGGAACTGGTCCGTCCAGCTGGTCTTCTGGGGGAGGGGCCTGCTGTGCTGATTTTCAGGTGTTAGCACTTGGGGGAGCTGCTCTGCCCCTGCCTGCTGCAGGGCTCAGCGGGGGTTGTTTAACCCGTGAGGCCCCAGGAGGAACAGCCACAGTGGTTATGGCAACTCTGGAAGCCTGGATTCAGCCTCCGCAGGAACTACGGGGCTCTCTGTCCGCAGGGCCTGGAGGCTCCGGGGCGGGGCCGCTGATCTGGTCAGCTCGGGGCAAGAGCGTCCTCGCTGTCCTGGGCCCTGCCGGCCTCTGCCTGTCCCGGGGGGAGGCCGGATCCTGGGCTGTGTCCCGGCGCCCTGTGCTCCGGGGCCTGCGCTGTTGGATTCGCGCTCCCGGTCGCGCAGCCGCCTCTCTGCGGAGCCGCTCGAGCCCCTCGAGCTGCTCCCGGCCGCGCAGCCCCCTCCGCACGGAGCCTCTTCCTCTGCCCGAGCCGCCGCCGCCGAGCTGCTCCGGGTCCCGCCGTGCTCGCTGCAGCCCTTAGGGAGCTCGGCGCACTCTCCTGGGCGCGCAGGTGTCTGTTAGTGTCCCCGGGAGCCCGAGGGCATCCCCGCCCTCCTGGGTCCTGCTCTGACTCCCTGCGAGCCCCTTTCCGCCCGGGAAGGTTGGTGCAGCTCCTGCTCCTCCGGGACGGGGCTCTCCTGTCCTGGGGACACTCGCCCCGGCCTCAGCCCGGCTCCTCGCGGGGCCCCTCCCCCTCGGAGGCCTTTTGTTTCTTTATTTCTTTTTCCCCGTCTTCCTACCGTGATAGAAGCGCGAACTCTCCTCACTGTAGCGTTCCAGCTGGTCTCTCTTTACATCTCAGGCCGAATTCGTGATTTTCAGGATGGTTTGAAGGTTATCTAGGTAATTTGGTGGGGACAGGTGATTTGGGGACCCTGCTCTTCCGCCATCCTGCCCCTCCCCTCCTCAAAAAGAATTCAGATAAGATTTTGACTCCACAAAGAAGCAGACTCAAAGATATATCTTTTTGATTAAGGTTAAATACTTAGCTGTTTTTTAGGATCTTTTCCAAAGTTATAATAACTTTGGAATCAAGTAAATAAAAGCAAATTAAATGTTTTCAAAAAATAGGAAAATAGCATCCAAACTAGTTGAACTCCTTCCCGTTATGCTTTGGAAACTGCTTTAGAATTTTATTTTGTAGTTATTGATAGCTCTTTAAACTAGATCAGGCCCTGGCCAACTATAGCCAGTGTGTCAGTTCTTCACCATTCCTATTTCTGTAAATAAAATCTTACTAGAACATAGCCAGGCTCAATGGTATATGTATTGTTTGTGGCTGTTTTCACACTGTAATGGCAGTGAGTAGTTGCAACAGAGACTGTGGCCCACAAACTTTAAAATACTTACTGTCTGGCTCTTTATAGAAAATGTTTGTCAACCCCTAAAGTAGATTAATGAAACTTATAGAATAAAATATCATAAGGATTTATCCAAAAGTTTTCTTTCCTTCCATGTCCATTAATTATTTATTTGACTGCTTTCTCCACTAGAGCAGTAAGTATTGTGAGAACAGACACACTCTTAGTCACCATAATGTCCCAGGCCCTAGAATAATACCTGAACATAGGTGTTCAGTCAGTGTCTATCAAGTAAGTGCATTACATGGAAGAAAAAAATAAGTCATCTTTTTATTCTACAGGACAATGGTCACCAGTAAGTACATCTTTTGCATATCTTATGATTTCTTTAGAAACAATAAAGAAGGAAAGGAATACCACTACTTCTGGCTTCATTAGTCAGCTTTGCATGATTTTTTCCTCAGACATACCAAATTTGAAATTGTCACCAAAGGTGCTCTGTTGCCTAGTAAAATGTAATCCAATTTTTTTTTGCATCCTCATATGACAAGTTATTTTTCTTGGGGAAGTTTTGCCTTAAACTAACCTTTCTTGTGTTTTACTTTTTCAAGATAAAAATAGCTTTAACATTCTTCTAATTATAAAATGATACATGTTCATCATAAAATTAAAATTTCACAAGAAAGGGGCACCTGGGTGGCTCAGTGGGTTAAGCTCCTGACTCTTGATTTCAGCGCAGGTCATAACCTCAAGAGTTGTGAGGTCCAGTGTCAGGCTCCAAGCTCAGCAGGAGTCTGCTTGAGATTCTCTTTCTTCCTCTTCCTCTGCTCCTCTTCTGTTCACGCATGCACATGCAAATTCTCTCTGTAGTAAATAAATCTTTTTTTAAATGTTAAAGAAGTAAAATTGCAAAGGAAGAAAATCTAAAACATATTCCTACCATGTTGAGTAACAAGTGTTAAGATGTTTTTGATGAACATCTTGATAATCTTTTCATGCACTTACCAATTATCTTTACAGCATCACATAGATTTAAAAACATGAGCACTTTTGCTAGTAAAGCAAGATGTTACGTCAAACTATAATTTTGCCTATCTACATATCTGATACTGTCTAAAGGACAGAGCCAAATATGCAGCTAGAAATAAATGCCTACATATAATAGTGTGAAAATCCTGGGAGGACAACATATCTGGCATCACAAACAAAGCTTTTATATGTATAAGAACTTTTAAAGATTAAAAGAAATGTATCAGCACAAAACAAATTCTGTGGGAAAATGTCGAGATTTCTAAAATAACTGAGTGACCATGTAACATTTATAACAATACCAGTTTGTTTGCTTTAATTCTTTATCTCATTTTTTAATTATGACCTCACTCTGCCTGACTAGTTGCAATAGAGTGTAATCTAGCCTCTTTTGTGTTCTACATGTAGAAATAGAAATAGATTCAGAGGAATTAAACAATTTATTCAAGAACTGACAGTAAATGTGAAAATTTGAGCTAATACTCATGCTTTTTTTGTGAACAGTTTTTCTTGCTTACTATTCTAAGCGCTTTATGTGCATTTCATTTAAATTTACACTGTCCATTCTACTGTTCCCTGCCTTTCAAGAACATTCACATAAAAGAGGAGACATTCCATGGGTCTCCAGAAATCATGTTTGCAATGGTTTTTATGAAAAAAACTGGGGAGTAGAGGCATAATTCTTTGTTTCCCTTGAGGACATTGATATATTCCTCTCAAGTTTGATTTCCCTTTCTATTTATAGCCAGGATTTACCAAGATCCTCAAAAGTTTTAGTCTTAGGACTCATTTACACTCTTAACAATTATCGAGAACAAGGGTGCCTGGGTGGCTCCATTGGTTAAGCGTCTGCCTTCAGCTCAAATCATGGTCTCCGGGTCCTGGGATTGAGCCCTGCACTGGGCTCCCTGCTCAATAGGGAGTCTGCTCCCTCTGAGCCTCCCCCTGCTTATGTTCTCTCAAGTAAATAAAATCTTTAAAAAATAAAAAAGTTATTGAGAACCTAAAGAGCTTTTATTTATATTGACTTTATGGTAATAGTTATTTACCATAGGTGTTAAAACCAAGAGATTTTTTTTTAAATCCTTCACTTTTAAATTTAAAAATTAGATGTGAAGTAACATTTTTATGAAAAGTAACTTTTCAAAAAAGATTTAGTGCGTAAGTGTATCATTTATGCTTTTTCAAATCTCTTTAATGTCTGCCTTGAGAAGATAGCTCTGTTCTGTTTCTTCATTAACTCTGTTGCAATATCCAAGTTGTATATTCTCTGAAAAACCTCACTCTATACTTGTGAGAGGAAAAAAGGCAGATTACATCTTGGTATTATTATGAAAAGTTTTGAACTTATGAGCCCCCTGAAGGGCCTCAGGGTCCCTGTCCCATAGTTTGGGAGTTGCAGTTTTAGATAGTAGACACAGTGGTGCCTGTTGAAGAGCCCAGGTCTCATCCGTCTCCTGGAATTAGTGGGGTTGGACATGAAAAACAACTAATTTACAAGAGTCTAATCCATTCTGTAAATTTTTACTGATACTGAACAAGACCTAAAGAAACAGACAAGATGACTACAAATGTTGGGAAGTGCATTTGGTGCAAAGAAGAGAGAATGGAAGAGGGTAGGTACCTACTTTTAGTTAGAGTGACCAGGAGACGCCTCTGAAGAAATGGAAGCAGCTGAGACCCAAACAATAAGAAGGTAGCCAGGTGGAGAGGAGCTTGTCTTCTAGGAAGACAATTCTTCCTACAATTAGGAAGTAATTATAGAGTTGCCTTAAGGTATTTATTTGTTTATTATCTGCTCCTCCCACTAGGATATAAGGTCTAGGCAGACACAGTCTTTTTCTTTATTGTTTTAGCACCTCATACAGTGCCTGACACATAGGAGATGTACCATAAAAGATTTCTGAATGGATGGAAAACATCCTAGAGAACAGTGGGCAAAGGGGAGAGTGGCAAAGTAAGGTCAGGGTGACAGGGTTCCAATCACTTAAGGCCTAGCAACTATCCAAAGGTTTAGATTTGGGGCCCCTGCATGGCTGAGTCGGTTAAGCATCCCCCAGCTCAGGTCATGATCCAGGGTCCTGGGATGGAGCCCCCATCAGGCTCCCTGATCAGCGGGGAGTCTGCTTCTCTTTTTCTCTTATCTCTCATTGCTCTTGCTCTCTCTCAAACACATACCTTTTAAAAAAGATTTGAATTTTATTGTAGGCACTCCAGGAAGTATTTAAAGTAGGAGAAGGACATGTCCCACTTTATGTTTAAGATCATTTTTTCAGGGGATCCCTGGGTGGCGCAGCGGTTTGGCACCTGCCTTTGGCTCAGGGCGCGATCCTGGAGGCCCGGGATCGAATCCCATATCGAGCTCCCGGTGCATGGAGCCTGCCTCTCTCTCTCTGTGTGTGACTATCATAAATAAATAAATTTTAAAAAAAAAGATCATTTTTTCAGTTGTATGGAAAAGGGATTGGAGGGGAAGCAATAGTGGAAGTGAAACCAGGTAGGCTTTTACAGGACTGAGGGTGAGAAATGGCCTGTACTAAGGTCATAGCAGCAGCAATGGAGAAAAGGGAATCAAGGTGTATTTTAGACATAGCATTGACACAACTTGCTAATGAAATTACAGAATGAGGAGAGTAAATCAAGATGACACCTAGATTTCCTTCTTGGGCCCCCGAGTAGATGGTGGTGCCAATGTATTAAGATGAGAAAGTCTGGGGGTACGGCAGTGGAGAGGACCAGGCTTGGAGGCAAAAATCAAGGGCACTCTTAGGAGTGTGTTTGATTTGAGATGTTTGTGCACACCTAAGAGGATATGTCAGCTAGGTGCTATGAATATTCAAATCTGGAATTCAGGAGAAAGATTAAGGCTGGAGACAAAAAGTTGAAAACCTTAAGTGTAAAGACAGTCTATAAACCCATGGGAATGGAGGCAGTCACTTAGGGAGGGAGCCTAAGAGAGATGTCTTGGGGACAAGCCCTGAGGAACCCCAGCATTTAGGCTCAATAAAGGGAGCCCAAAAGGGGAGTTAAGAGAGGTCAGTAAGGTAGAGGTAAGTGAGGTAGAAGAAAAACCAAGAAAGACATTGAATTAAGACAGATGCTCCTGGGATGTTCTAAGAACACAGAGGACAGGCAAAAAATACACTTGGGGAGGGAATGCGGCCGAGGCTGTATCTAAGTCTTAAAGGATCTCTAGGGCAGCCCAGGTGGCTCAGCGGTTTAGCGCCGCCTTTAGCCCAGGGCAGGATCCTGGAGACTTGGTCCGGCTCCCTGCATGGAGCCTGCTTCTCTTTCTGTCTGTGTCTGAGTATCTGTCTCTCATGAATAAATATAAAATCTTAAAAAAAAAAAAAAAAGGATCTCTAGTAATCCTAGCAAAGATGGGGGAAAGTAGGCATTTTCTATCAGCAAGGGCAGAACTGAAGAAGTCCCTGGGGACAGGGAGCAGGACTATTCAAGGAAGTCACAAACTAGAATAGGAGAGAATTATGGATGAATCCTTTATTTTTCAAAAACAAAGAATGATGGATGAGCAGTAAGGCTTAACAAGTGGACAGGAAACACCAGGTCACAAAGGGGCTTCCATACAACAGGGTTGGATAGGAACTTTAATTCCTTACTATCAAGGTAATAAGATGTTCATTAAAAAAAAAAAAAGATGTTCATTATAGAACATGGTTAAATATGTAAAAAGGAGAAGTCAAAAAGGAAACCACTCCCCGGAGATTTTACATTTATTTTCCTCTACATTTTTATGTAGTTGAAACCTTTTAGGGCAGTCCCGGTAGCGCAGCGGTTTAGCGCTGCCTGCAGTCCGGGGTGTGATCCTGGAGTCCGTGGATCGAGTCCCACGTCGGGCTCCCTGCATGGAGCCTGCTTCTCCCTCTGCCTGTGTCTCTGCCTCTCTCTATCTCTCTCTCTGTGTCTCAAATAAATAAATAAATCTTGAAAAAAAAAAGCCTTTTAGGTTTTTGTTGTTCTGTTTCTATTAAACACTTCCTCTATGATAATAAAGGCCTCATAAACGACTTCCTAAGTGGCTAGACAGTATTTAATAATGAGACCTAACACACTGATTTCTTTAGTGTTCTGTGCGCACCCTTCCCCTCGACGCCGCCCAGAAGCATCAGGTGGAGAACCTGGGCACCTGGGTGGCTCAGTGGTTGAGCGTCTGCCTCCGGCTCAGGGCGTCATCCCAGGTCCTGGTGATCCAGTCCCGCGTCAGTCTCCCCGCAAGGAGCCTGCTTCTCCCTCTCCCTCTCTCATGAATAAATAAATCTTAAACAAAAAAACAAACAAAAACAAAAACAAAAAAACAGGCAGAACCTCAGGTCCCAGCCCAGACCTACCTAAGTTGAATCTGCATTTACTGTAACGAGATCCCCCAGATGACTCCCACAGCCATTCAAGCGCGAGCAGCACCGATGGAGACTGGTGGTTTCAAGCCGGGGCACACTGCAATCACCTGGGCGAGCTCTTAAAAATTCCAACGCTCAGGTCACGCCCCTTACCAACGAAATGCATCTCAGGGAGCGGGACCACAACGCAAAAGCTTTCCACGTGATCCCAGCTTGCAGCCCATTTTGAGAACCTTTGATCTAAGGGTGTGGCGTGGAAGGAGAAGAACAATGGTTAGCTAGGCTCAGGTAGCTGAGGCCCAGGCCCAGGAACAGGGAGGTAAAACTACTCCGCACCATATGGCTCCGCTCTGCGTCGCGGATTTTGCACAACGTACAAGCAGCGCTGACGTGGAGCAACGAAAAAGCGTGGGAAGGCCTGGTGCGCGCGCGAATCAGGGAGGCCGGCCGCTAACCCAGAGGAGCGCCCCGGGGCCCCTCCCGCCTCCACGCCTCGCGCGGCTCCCGCGGCTCCCGCGCCCTCCCGCGCGTCGGGATGGGACGTGCGGAGCCTGCGCGCTCGCCGCCGCGGCCGGGGCGGCCTCCAGTGACGTCAGAGCGCGTCGCGGGTTCCAGCCCCCCAGCCCGGGCCCCCAGACTCCGGCGCCGGCCGGCCGGGCGGGGGCGGGGGCGGGGGCGGGGGCGGGGCGTCGGGCCAGCTGAGCTATCCCGTGTGACCGCGCCAGTTTGAATGCAAGCTCCTTAAGATGGCGGCGGCCGGGGCCGAGGCGCGACGAGGTGAGGGCTGGAGAGCGGCTCCCCTCACTGTCCCCCGTTCTCCAGGCAAACTCCCGAGGCCCGGGAAGCGGGGCCGGGACCCGCAGGCCCGCCAGAGCGCGACACGGCGAGACGCCGCCTCCTGCCCCGCTGACACCTCGGGCCCCAGAGGCGCCCCGCGGGCGTCCCCCGTCCCCCGGCCCCTGACCCTTCTCGAGGCCCGGCCCGCCCGCTCCCCGCAGTTTCCTCCTGCGCCCGGCTTCCGCGGGGCACGGCCCTCGCGCCCTGCTCCGAGGTCGGCTGCCTCCCGCTCGGCGGAGATCCCGCGGGCTCCGTGGACTCCGTGGCCCAGCCCCCGCTGCCCGTTGGGCCCGGGGCCGCTCCGCGCCTGGTCGCCGCCGTGTGGAGGTATTCGGGCGGCCGCCGCGGCTCCCGGTAATCCCCGGAAGTGGGGGGAGGGCTGTGGGCGCGCGCGCGGTTTGCTCCTTTGTGGTGGTTTGGGCGGGACGTGCCGTGTCGGGGCCGCCTTTTGGACTGGGAAGCAGGAAGTACCCGGTGGCGTGTGAGTGTGACCTCGGGGCCTGAGGGGAGACCGGGATGGAGGCTGAAGCACGAACGCTAAACAAGTAAGCGGGCCCACTCCCCGGCTCGGACGCACTGCGAGCGACGGTCGCTTCCCCGTCGCAGAATAGAGCCCAGTTCGCGGGTGTTGGAAGACGTAGCCTCTGGCTTCGGTGATTTCCATACCCCCGGGACCCCGCGTGATGTCTCTGTGGACGCCGGAGAATTAGGCGGTTTGTGTGTGTGTGTGTGTGTCCGTCGCGCGCACTCTCGGGAAAACGGGAATTTTCAAGGCGTTCTAGAATTCAAAGGCGTTTGCTGGCACCACTCCCTAGATTATGAACTCAATTATCCCCAAACTTACCTTCCACGAGGGCTTTGTGTGAACCTAGCGTAAGGTGGTGTTTTTGTTTTTTTTTTTTTTTTGCATTGGTAATGAAATGTTTAATCTTGCAAATGAAGTATTTTTCTACATTCCTGTAGATCACTGGAATGGTTACCAAAGGGTTTGCGTATTTTTGTATTTTTGCATTCCTTTTTTTTTCCCCCCTTTTCTTCTCAAAAAAAAAAAAGGCATTTCCGTCGAGGGTTGTCTTGAACGTCAAGTTACATAAACTAGGTCAGAACGGTAGGGACGACAGACATGCACACCTTGGGTCGATACCCAAGAGGAAGCTCCCTTGCACGCGATCGCCATGAGGAGGGTCACTCTACACAAAACTTCCTGAAGTTTTTGTGTTTGTTTTTAAGTGGAAGACACTGAAGTGGTCATCTCTGTTCTAGCGCTTTCCTATCCCCAAACCACCACTTCAGAGTAAGCAGTCTCTCAAGATTTTTTGGGGGGTGGGAGAAAATACCTTTCATTTTCTTGGTCTGGCGTTATGAATCTTTTGTGGGAAGCGGGGGTGATGGAAATCGTGCCTCAAGGTTTCTGACAATGAAGCCCCTGTGAGAGTTGGGGAGAGTGAGGGAAGGATGTGGTAAGAACAGCTGTGTTCTCTCTTCCTTGGAAATCACCGCAAAACAAAAGGTTACCACAATTACCTGGGAGAGCTGCCAAGCAAAGCTGGAGTTTACCGATAGATTTTGTTTGGTTAATTGCACTCTGCATCCACCCTCACCTTCCCCCCCCACACACACACACACTGAACCTGAAATCCGTAAAGATTGAAATCTCCCTAAAGTCATGTCGCTGGGTACCCTAGCAAAGGCTGAGGCAGAGGACCCTTGGTTCTCTGGAGTGCTTATTACCATAGCACTAGCCATAAAACCAAGTTTATTACATATCGCTAAACACCAGTTTGTGTTAACATATTTTACATGCCATATGGTAGCATACTGTTTCCAGAATTTTGAGAATAAAATCTTTGGCAGCACATTTAGTTAGTGGCTCCTGTAAGGTTAATTAGTGTGTCTGGTTTTAAGTGTGGTATGTGGATTATGCAAATTAAGTACTCTGTTTTGTAAATCTTGGCTTTAAAAACAATATAGGAAATGAGTTATGAAAATAAATTCTCCATTATTTATTATAACTCCTGGGCTTATTTATCTTTAACAATACAGTACAGCATAGGCAACATAATAAATGGAGTTAAAATTTCATGCAGGATTCCAGAATGGGAAAAGTAGGGTGTGTAATTGATGTATAAGTTTGTCTTAGAGCTCTACGTTTTATTAAAACAGTAGTTATATTCAATGTAGAATATAATGGAAAAGGTAAAAACATTATCTTTGTTGACCTTTGCATCTATATGTAATTTTAAGAAAGCTTACAAACATGAAACTTTTCATTCAGGTGGCTCAGTAGAAATTAATTGATACTAGTTAAGCGTAGTAGGATAGAGACCCATGAGAAAATCCAAGAAAACCAATTTACCAAAATAGTTCTTTAATGCTTAATTTTTTCTTGAAGACACATAAATGGTTTCTTGTCATATGAATTTTCAGTCCTGTAAATTTGCCAGTTGAAGGGTGGGGATATAGAGGTCTTAAGTTTTTCCTTTTTGTTTTAATTGAGTAGCTACTTCATTAGTAAAGAATTCTATTTTCTTATTGTAGCTTGGTGTGTGCCTTGCCTAGTTTCACTTGATACTCTTCAGGAATTATGTAGAAAAGAAAAACTCACATGTAAATCGATTGGAATCACCAAAAGGAATCTAAACAATTATGAGGTGGAATACTTGTGTGACTACAAGGTAGTAAAGGTAAGGCAAATATCTAGCTCCTTAAAAGAGACCTAATCAGACTTCAACTCAGTATTTCATATTTCTGTAACATAAAAAGAACCTTAAAAGTAAGCAAAGTTCTTCTTAATGTTAAAAATTCTAAGCCATAATACATTTATATGTCCTATCATCTATATTGCCAAGTAACATTGAGAGGATTTTGAAGCATTAAATGTTCTTATATTATTTTAAGGTGCTTATATCATTCTACATCCAACTCTTGATTATCTCCATGTGGATTACCAGAGCAAATGTTTTATCTCATATTGGCTTCTCCTGTCATTCGTTTTGTTCCTGTATCATATTTCCCCACTATCACCTGAAATAAACCTAGAAATTCAAACCCAGTTTTAGTGATATTGGATCTCCTCAGGAAGCATCACCATTTGTATGTCCTGCATCATGTCAAACTCCATTATTAGTGAGGTTCAGTGGTATAATAGAATGGCCTGGAGTTCAGAGTCATTTCTAATCTTCGATTGATACTTTGTAGCTTTCCTCAAAGTCCTGTAACTTCTCTGAGCCTCACTTGATTCCTATTTCTCTTTAAAATGACAGGGTTGTTTTCCTAAGAACCTTCTTCTAAACCTTATGATATATTTTTGAGTAATTCATCTTTCTGTAGCCTGCTGCCTCTCCAAACCTCTCCAAGAATTCTTTTTTGGTCATTTATTTGTCAGTTCTTCCAGACAAATGAATTAGGAATCCTCCTCCTTCATCTTCCATATCGATTCAGTCATTAAATCCAATTCTTCCTTTGAAACATCCATCATCTTTTCATATAACTGCCTTCCTCACTCAATGGGATTTTATGATCAGGCATTTCACCTGCACTCTTCAACAGCCTTCAACCACAAAACAGCCCAGTCATCTGCCATCTCAGTGTATTAACTGTGGCCTCACCAAACTAGCCAATAATATCCTATAATCACACGTATTGACGCCATTAAAGCTTATTTCTAGTCTCGTTCCGTTCAATTCTACATGAGGTTTTTATCTGTTACTTTTCCCTTTCTTGTCAGCAGTTTTTCCGACTTACTACTTTTCTGGACTTCTCACGCTATCCTTCACCTTCATATTCAGCCACAGATCTCTTCATTATTTATATAGGCAGATAGGCAGTGGCAGATAGGATCCTTCAAGTATGAACTTTCAACTTACCTTTACACCAGTTATCTGTATCTTTGCTGTTACTGTTTTTCCTTTTTCTTCCTGTCCATCCCTGGTAGGACTTTGTTTAATCTGTGGTACTTTATTTATGTATGTATGTATGTATGTATGTATTTATTTATTTATTTATTTATTTATGTATGTATTTATTTATTTGCTTTCTTTTTCCACTGACTTGTCTCGGCAGTAAAACCTACTCCCAGCTTCCCCAGTCTTTCTTTGACCTTGCCTCCCCACTCAAGCATTTCCGGTCTTCTACTTCATTCCCATTAAGTTTTCACAACAGCTTTGTCAAGATGTAATTCACATACCATACAGTTCACTAATTTAAAGTGTACAATTCAGAGCTCTTAGCATGCTCTCAGAATTATTCTAAAGTTGACTGTGGTGATGATTGCATGTTTTCATTATGCCAGGAAGAAAGTCCTCACCACCCAGCCATCACTCCCTAAACCTCCCCAATCTCCTTCCCCCACTAGCGCTAGCTAACCACTAATCTACTCTTTGTCTCTGTAGATTGCCTATTTGGATTCATAAATAGAACCATATAATATGTATGTGGTTCTTTGTGATTGGTTTCTTTCACTTAGCATGGTGTTTCCAAGGTTTGTCAGTGTTGCATCATTCCTTTTTATTGACAACTATTCCATTACAGGGATATAGCACATTTACTTAATTTATTTGTCACTTGGACATTTGGGTTTTTCTGTTTGGAGGATATTATAAATGTTATGAACATTCATCAGAGGTTTTTGTGTGGACATGTTTGGATGTATACCTAGGAGTTGAATTGCTGGGTCATACAATTTCGCTTTGTTTAACCATTGGAGGAACTGCCAGATTTTTCCAAAGGGACATTCCCACTAGCAGTGTTACTAGTGTTTCTGTTTTTTTACCTCCTTACCAACACATGTTGCTACCTGACTCTGATTACCACTGTCCTAGTGGCTATGGAGTAGTACCTCCTTAAGGTTTTGATTTGCATTTCTCTGATGGCTAATGATGCTGAGCATCTTTTCATGTGCTTTTTGTATATCTTTGGAGAACTGTTCATTCTGAGGCTTTGCCCATTTTTTAAATTGTTTTTTAATTATTGAATTGTAATAGTTCTTTATATATGCTAGATAGTGTCTCATGAGATACATTTGTATTATTTTACATTTGTAAAAATTTTCTCCTGGGGGTTGTCTCTTCATTTCTCGTTAACTTTTTAACCCACTTTATTCTGATCCATGCCCCTATCAGTGACCTACTTCTATCCCCTTCTTTTTTTTTTTTTTTTAAGATTTTATTTATTTATTCTTTAGAGAGAGAGAGAGAGAGGCAGAGGCAGAGGGAGGAGCAGCAGGCTCCATGCAGGGAGCCCAATGTGGGACTCGATCCCAGGATTCCAGGATCACGCCCGGGGCTGAAGGCAGGTGCTAAACTGCTGAGCCACCCAGGCTGCCCTTCCATTCCCTTCTTAGCAATATCTGACACTGTTGGCCTCTCTCTCTTCTTTGAAATATTCTTGTCTATGAAGAGTGCCTATGTTCATACTCCGTCTCTACTCTTTATTAGTTGACTTTTAGCAAATTTACTTAGCCTCTCAGTCTTCCCATTTATTCAAATATAGAATGAGGATAGTCATAGTACCCTTCTCATAGGGTTATGATTAACATTAAATGCAGTGATAAAGATAAATGCTTACAACAGAAACTGATCTGTGATATTGTAGAAGTGTTTTCTGACATTGTTATTCATCTCTATATCCCTTCCTTTTTCCACTTTTCCTACTACTCTTTCTGAATCGCCTTTGTTGTCTCTTATCTGTCCTTCCTCTGAAATGTAGGTAACCTTCACAACTCTATCCTTGACCCTCTACTCATTTAAAGTGGCTCTGTAGATGACCTCTTTCCCAGTGGTTTCTACTTCTGTTTGACTCATGACTGCAAAGTCTTTGTGAGGCATTGATCTCTTTATGGATTCATTTTGAACTGAACACTACAGGTTCCCAAATTCACCATATTCAAAACTGTACCTGCTTTCCTCCCTCAAATCTGCTTCCTGGTCTGGTGTTCCCTATCTAAGCTAACCATAATACCTAACCTTATAAGTTCATACTTTTTTTTTTTTTTTTAATTTTATTTACTCATGAGAGACACAGAGAGAGAGAAGAGAGAGAGGCAGAGACACAGGTAGAGGGAGAAGCAGGTTCCTCACAGGGAGCATGATGTAGGACTCGATCCCTAGACGGGGATCACACCCTGAGCCAAAGGTAGACGCTCAACCACTGAGCCACCCAGGCATCCCAAGTTCATACATTTTTAATTCTTCCTTCCTACCTATCCTCTAATAGGTTGTCAGATTATATTATCTCTGTCTCTGTTTGTGTTTTCCTGTTCATTTTGCTGTACTCTCACAGAGTTAGTTACCTCGGGATCTGTGCTTACATTGAAGGAGCTACCATTATTCTTAAGCAGGATTCTGAGTATTGTAGTTAGATTTTAGATAGCTTTTGCTCCTTGGTTTCCCCTTGGTCCTTCTCATCAATCCTTTTGGTTTCTTGTTTTGGAATGAGTACCCCTACTTACACACTTAGATCCTCAATATACCACTTGTATCCCTCCTTTCTTCTCATTTCCAGCGCAGGTTATTTAATCTATAGCCCAGTATTATTCCAACGTATCTCTATCTTTTCTCTCTCTGCCCTCTCATGTTCAGGGCAGGATAAAGATCAGATAAAGATCTGTGTTCTTTTCTCATGTGTACCCCTCCACTTAGCTCATAAGAGACTGTTTCAATACCATATTCTTCAAAGCCATGATAGAAGTTTCTAAAACACACTTCTGGTTGCATTAGGGCCTTGCTGTAGCCCTCTCAATGGCTTGTCTACCAATCTAAGCTGAGATCCTTTGTGCTGAGGTTCTTTATTATCTGGGAACCAACTACCTTCCCAGCTTTATCACTGGTCACATATCCTATTTTTTATGCACACGGAAATACTTGTAAATTCTTTCATTTAGCTAAGATTTAATGAGCACCTGCTATGAGCTGGGCAGTCTTCTAAGCATTGAGAACATAGTTTAAATACAGATAAAGCTTATATTCTAATTCCTTAAACATATTATGCACCTCTGTGCCCTTTTGCTGTTCTCATCCAGTTCCCTCTTTGGAATACTGTTGTTTCCCTTCTCTCCTTGACAGAATTCTCTTTGGTCTGGAAAGCTAGCTGAAAGGCTACCACTATTTTTGAGCCTTCTTCCCTCCCCCATGTCCCTAAAATTAATTTATAGTCAGGACTTAAAAAGCACTGTTTTTGTTATTATTCTAGAACTTTGACATCTTTTATAGCTTGGTTTCATACCTCCTCTGCTAAATTGTCAACCATTTAGGGCCAGGACTATGTATTACTGTAGTCTCTATCTAGTACATAATGGGTATTTAGTTAGTGGTTAATTAATTTAATTGGCTTTTGCATCAGTGATTTTTTTCTAATCCTCACACAGTCACCAGTAGACTAGACCTTTTTAGCTTCATACTTAGATTACAGCAGCAATCTGTTGACTAATAGCTCCCGTGTCATGTTTCTCTAGTCTCACTCAGTGAACATATGAGTTTCTTCTGTGTGTCAGGTACTGTGTTAGGCTCTGGGAAAAATAAAGATTAAGGGATCCCTGGGTGGCGCAGCGGTTTGGCGCCTGCCTTTGGCCCAGGGCGCGATCCTGGAGACCCAGGATCAAGTCCCACATCGGGCTCCCGGTGCATGGAGCCTGCTTCTCCCTCTGCCTGTGTCTCTGCGCCTCTCTCTCTCTCTCTGTGACTATCAT